AAACACTTTACAAAATGTCTCTTTCTGATTTGTCATGCACACGTGTTGCATTTTTCTCTGCCAGTCTGGTTGTAAATCCATCACAGCAGCATATACGCATTATCATGTTCAATCCTGAACAATCTGCACATGGCTGTGTGGGTTTTGCAGCAGTCCCTGTGGCCCCCTTCCCATGCTGAGGTTTACTGTATGAGAAATGCATCAGTGCTTGTCATAGTTTCCTGCAGAGCTCAGTGCCACATTTTTTCAATGCTGTTGTATTTTACCATTTTTAAGATTTTTTTTATTATTATTCCTGGTTTTATGCAATGATTCACTGTGATGGCAAGATGATGTTCTCCACATTCTAATGTATGTTTGGTAACACTTTAGATTAGGGAACACATATTGAATATGAACTGAGTTTTCCCTCAGTAAACTCCTTATGTGCTGCTTATTAATAGTTAGCAAGGTAGTTTAGTTTAGGTTTTGGGTTGGGTTGGGTTAAGGGATCTAGAATATGGTTATTGTTTCTTGTGTACTACTGGAATGAAAAAAATGACTGTTAACAGTGCCAAATCAACAGTGTATTGCATTGATGTTTCTCAGAAGATTTTGGCACTCTCCTGCATCCTTTAATTACAGGTCTTTTAATGCTCTTTTAATGCAGATATATGCAGATTATTCATATAGTTTGCCTGGTTCTTTTCCATCTAATTCAGATGAGAAGTTCAAACTCCTTTGCTCTGTGACTTTGTGCCTTGAGTTTATCCCAGGCTCATTGCATGACTCATTGTAATGGCATTTTGGCTTTCCACGGGTATATTAAAAACAAAAACCAACCATATATTTCAAATCATGAAAGGGCTCACCATAAGTCCAATTAATTTATCTGCAAGCAGCGTCACAAGGGAAAACTGTCTCCATTTGTCTGATAGTGGGAGCCAAGCATTTCACTGACATCGTATTTGTCTCAAGGTTATTAGCACCTTAGTGTAACGTGACTCATCTGCAATTTGATATGCATTTTTGCTTTGTGTTTGGTGTGAAGAGGCACTAACAAATGAAAGAGTCAAATGAAACAAAAAAAATCACTTTGTTGTATGTTCAGAAGATTCAAGATGTAAATCAATTTTGACAATGAATTTTAGTCTAATAATTGTAGTTGCTAATTTGATACATTTTATATAAAAAAAAATTGTATTGGTAAATTGTATTTACCCAAAAGTTCAAAATGTGTTTGATGTTTGTCGATCAACACGAAGGTTGGAACATAAATAAATAAATATATATATATATATATTTAAAAGATAAATAAATGAAAAAATAAGATTACCATTTTGGCCTTAACACATTTCCTTTCCCTCTAAATGTCTTTGATCATAATTATTATAAACATATGTTTGAATGCAAAAATGACAGCAGATTGCTTGTTTGCTTCTTTTCTGAAAGACAAAGTACCTTAATTATACTGTAATAAACATTACTTCACGAGCATACAAACATTATGTATCAAGCCGTGGATGTAAACATTGCATTTTTGCTGTTTAGAAGAGAATAAATTGAGCATTTAGGCTCCTGTGGCATGCTGTACATCACTATCAGTCTTTCTGAGGAATCTGCTGTCAGAATTGTATAATATGAACCAAAGTTGAATATTTACAGCTAGGTTATGGTTAAATTAATTTTATAATATTTAAAAAGTAAAGATAACTATTTAGATTTTTTTTGCAAAGCTGTACATAACTGTACATTTATTTAGTGAACAGCACCATTATGTCCACCTCAGCATAACCAAAATGGCATCCCACACTCATCTTCAGACTTCTACCCCCAGAACACTGATTAGCCCTCAACCCACAGACATCCCCTGCTCCAGATGAAAGATGGGAAAGGGTTTTTTTCCACTGACTAGTAATATCCTGATGCTTCTCATCTGCCTCCGTTTTGGGTGTGGGAAAAAAAAATGCATGTCAGCCAGCAATGAGACACCGAATGCTCCCATTCTCTGGTCCAAGACGACCTTGGTGAAGCAGGGTGAAGCAGGGTGAAGCAGGCCAGAATGATTTTCTCCATAGATATCTGTATTTTTCACATGCAAGTATGAACATTTCTGGTTAAACATTTTGAAATATCCACTTTCTTGTGCTACCGGTTATTCTAAATGACCCACTCTATATCAGTGATTGCAATGGAAAAGTAAAAAGCAAATAATTGAAACTAAAATGCTCACACACATACGAAGACACCACCGGAAAAACGATAAGGGTTTCGAGAGTCATAAAGATCACTAGCACATCCTCGACACAGGTTATGTTGACAGGGCAGGATCACCACTGGTTTAGTGAACATGTCCAGACAAATTGGACAGCTTAGCTGTTTCTCAAGGCTCTCCATGGAGCCAGGAGACCCCAACAAAGAGGAAGTTCGCTGAATGTCCATGTCAATGGTCGCTTTGTAGCCTTTTGCTGTATAAATTCGATGGCTGTCTCCCAAAAGATCAAAATAAGCTGCGGCACAGCAGTAAATGATTCTTTGTAGTTGTCAGATCTGTTCTGGGGCAAAGTGGCCCTGGTCTTTATACTACCCTCAGCCAGTGGAAGACAGCCCATACCTCCAACCAATCAGAGCCCACATTCCTTTCCATTTGTTTTCAAGATCCATTTTTTGGAGAAGCAAAATCCCTCCCCTTTAAACCCATGTGTTGTGTCACAATGATACCATAACACCCCTACCCTTTCCCGTACAGTGAGATTTCAATGTTGAAATATTTCTGGGGTGACAAACAAGTTTCATGTCAACAAAACAAACCCTGTCTGTTACAAAACACCCTCTGAATTTTAATTGCTAATTTCTGTCCTGCACAGATTAATTACAATATTTTTCACAAGAAGAAAACACTAAATTGTAAGAACTTTATTTTGACTTGCCACCTTAAATAAATGTCCAGATACCGAAAAAAATAAATAATATAATATACATGTACCTCCACCATTCTTTTTATTTTCCTAGTATTCTGAGGATAGTATTTTTGAAGATATATTTAATTGAGGAACAACCCACAATCATTCAAAATAATTTATTGTTCAAATGTTCTGTTTTTAAAAAACAACAACTGCTGATGTCTTAAAACACAGTACATAGGGAACCCATGAACACATAGAAAGGGTTATTTTTAACCTATCCTTGGCCTGGGTGGGTCAGGTGCTGGCTTGTGGGGATCAAATGAAGGCTTTTAGCATGATCCTTGAAGATACTATATTAAATATCAACAAGATTGCAAAATAACTTTTGCTATCTTACTTTCCAACAACAAAATGATTCAACAAAATGTAGCACATTAATGATAAAGTAACTTCAGACTTTAATTGTCTCTGCAAACAGTCATCATTCAAAGTATTCACACTTGGCCTATGAATATGCCAAGTTAATGCCTGAGCTAAGTTTAGTCATGAACCACTTGGAGCAAGATACGTGCCATTTACCAGCACAGATTTCTTAAATAATTTTTTTTTAATTCAATTCTTTTTTTCTTGCACATCCATCCACATTCAATAGTGACTAAACACATTTTATGCTTGTGAAAGAGAAAGATAATCACACAAAACCACACATAACATGTCATGTACAAAGTATACTTCTAAAATCTAACTAAATCTGACAGTAATTAACTTTATCTTTGGAGTGTTACAAGCTCTTGGTGCATAAAGAAGATCTGTAAAGTTGCAAAGACTAAAGTCTCAAATCCATTCTTTATAAAAGTTAAGAGTCAGCCACGCCTACCTAAAACGGCCCGTTCTAACACGCCCCCACATATCTACCTCACTATCTGTGAAGATTTGCATAACGCCCCCCACATGTCTATGTCACGATGTGGGAAGATTTGTATAACGCCGCCCAAATGTTCACGCAAAGAAAGAAGGCGTAACTTTTATTCTTGCTGTAGTATTGTTGTTGCCGCCGCCATGTCATGAAGGCGCTGTGTGTTTCGTTGTGAAAGCGAAACTACTTTGTTTAGCCTTCCAAACAAAGTCCAGCCCGGGGTCGTCACACGCTCCTTCGTCGAATCCGCCGGCCACGCCATTCTCAAGTCCGCTGCCTCTGCTCACTCTAGCCCTCCGGCCGTTCCTCACTCTAGGCCGCCGCCACTCACTCTAGGCCACCGTGTGTGCCGCTGTGTTTCGTTGTGAAAGCAAAACTACTTTGTTTGGCCTTCCAAAAGAGGACACGGCTAGAAATCAGTGGTTAAGTTGTATTTACAATACTACTCCAGAACACTTCAAACCAAATATTCTGATGTCTGCAGCACATTTTATGGAGGACCGTTTCCTGATCCTGGGAGAGTAGACTACAATGCCGGCTGTTCTGACTCTCAGACTGTAAGTACATTTTTTATATTTAAAGAGTCTTTTATATTTTATATTTTTTATATTTAAAGCGAGTTTTTTGGGCAGTGTAGAGTAGCGCTTGTTGTTTGTCATTTCTCCGATCACAAATGCAGATATGGTTTTATGTTTACGTGGCGCGATGCAACGCAACGTGTAAAAAGACAGTATAAGTCATTATAATCCATAATTATGTCCCCACTGGATGCAACGAATGCCTCGTTTATAATGGGTTTTCATGTTTTTGAATCATCGCTCTGGCCTGACAGGGCATCATCACAGTATGGTAAGGGGCATAACATTTCCGACACAAGCTTGAGATATTCGGCCAATCACAACGCACTGGATAGCTGGCCAATCACAGCACACCTCGCTTTTTTTTTTTCTTTTCAGACCGATGAGCTTTGTAAAAATCTACGTGTTTCAGAAAGGCGGGGCATAGAGGAGAAACAATAATGTACAGTATGTGGAAAATAATGTATTTTTTAAATCTTAAACCGCATAAACATTTAATTACACCAAATAATGTTCTTTTTAGCAACATCATATGACCCCTTTAATTAAACAGATACGAAAAACCACAGAGCAGACGAAAATTTCAGGGCCCTTCTATCCCACTTCATTATAGATCTCATTTCAGGAATACAGCATAAAATACAGCATAAACCGCATGATCTCAGTACCTCTTAAGGCTTCCATCACAGGGAGAATGCTTTCAGACCACTGGTAAGCAGCAATAGTAGCGTAGATCCCTGGAAAGTCTCGCTGCCAGATACGCTGTCCAACAGCCCATATAGCGGCCAGCTCTGGGTTTGCCTGTAATTAAAATCTGTATCAGACACCTGAAATTAATTTTGCTTTATGTTAGACTGATTGGAAGAAAACATAAAACTCACTGTTTTGATTGCATGTGGTATCCGTTTCCAAAGGTATCTGGCATTATTCCTGCATAAAGCAAATTAATGTTATGACAGAATCAACTGATAATATAAATACGAATTAACATTATACATATAACACACTCACAGGTCATTGTGCAGGAGATACAGAACTAGTAACTGGGAATACACTTGAGGCGTAGCAATACCACCAGGAGCCTAGGATACAAGGTAACATGTTTACAAAATTATGCAAACGGCGAATATTAAAGAGATGAATATGACAATTTACATTAAAAACAGTCAGACAAACATGCCTGTTATACAATAACAAATAAACACGTGCACAAGGAAAATTATTACTAACATTACACACAAAACTTCATAGACAATAACTCACAAGTTACATTCCGCAATAACATCAATAAGTTAATATTTATTTTATCTTTTAGTGATGTCTAGAGTTGTCTTTACATGACTAACGTTAGAGTTGTTCAGCTGACAGCCAAGATACTGTAGCAGTTTAGCAGATAACATACATCCGCGGAATAAAGGCATTACTACATAAATCTCAATGTCTGTTTTTACCTCCAACTCTTGAGTTTCAAACTGCAACAGCAGCTTTTCATCAAGTTCAGCCATCATGACAGACACGGGCATCTTTTACAGGAGCCTCATATGCTAACGGCTAAGGGAAACAAACCCGCTGCTGCTCTGTCTCTGCGATTCCACACTGACACCTGCTGGACTGGAGAGCAAACGACGCCACCAAACGCTCCGAGAATCGTGGAATAGTTGGCCTGTTACTATTATTTTGAATACTATAGCTGGAAAACAAAACTGTGGCGAGGTTTGGAGACCACTTTGAATCCTATTTAGCATGTATATTGACGCAGGTTAAAGAGTTGCTCTTTTCAGAAACCCATTTCAGCATTTTGTTAAAGCAGTATAGGACAGATTAGAGGTTTACAGCAGCTCACTGAACTGCTCTTTTCAGAACAGCATAATATTGTGCGGTCAGACCTGATTGACTGTCCTGATACTGTTAGCCAGCTGCTCACAGTAGGCATGCACTTCTCACTATTGTCTAGTGAGAAGTGCATGCCTACAGATCCTGTCACTGTCTATAATCTACCTCTCATAACACCACCGTTATTTGTCTCCTAAATCAGATCCTTATCTTATATATCCATGACATCTATGCTTACACATGGAGAAGTTCGAATTTGTGCTCATTTGTATATTTAAAATTTCATGAAGTCTCACCAAATCAAATTAGGCTGTATTGTGACTGCGATACAAAATTATCAATTTATTAGTCCACGTTTCTTTGCTTTGAACTGCTCCACTTTAGTATACGTATAATATGTGTAATTTAGTATAGGCCTACTCTGCTTGCGTGAGTCTTATAAACGTTTAGATCAACTTACAGTCGGATCTATTTATATTTAGATGTAACAACCGAGAACAACAACAGATGCGCCACATATGAAATTTATCAGTCTCAGGCTTAGTTTGAAAGGGGAAACCCCTATTAAGAGTGTTATGAAACAATGTCAGACGACATTGTATTGGATTACACTGTTGAATCAGAATTTGTTAAGGCTCTTAAAGAAGCACAAAGTAAGGAGGACTCTACATGTGTGCAGACCCTTCTCACAGAGGCAAGCAAAGAAAATTCAAATATCATCATAGAGTTGTCAAATGATGATTGGATGAAAGACCCTGATGTCGAGCTCCCCCCAGGTGTACTGTTGGGTAGGTAAAACTCAAACATGCTTTTGGTTGATGCTTTAAAATGTATGGTTAAATGGTTTTGCTTGAATTTCACATTTCTTTTTAGAATTAACATATTTTGAATCCCATCAATCAACACATTTAACACTTCAAAAAATTTAGTAAGTAAAAAGTTTTAAGTATTTTGTATAGGACCCCTTTCGTGTGTGTGATTGTTACAGTTCCCAGCATTTTCCCCAGTCTTCCATGTAGACTTTCCGAAATACAATTGTGGAAAAAATGTAATATGCGGCAAGCAAAAATTAAATTTAAGTCAAGTCACCTTTATTTACAGTATATTGCGCTTTATACAATACAGATTGTGTCAAAGCAGCTTTACGGTGTCAAACAGGAAAATGGTTTGTCAATAATGCAAGAGGACAATAACAAACAGTCAGTTAAGGTCAGTTCATTGATGATTCAGTGATGTCATCATTATCCAGTTCAGCTCTCTTCCAATAAGTGTCTGTGCAATCAAGCCGACAATATTGCCAGAAATTAAGTGTCCCCAACTAAACAAGCCAAAGGTGACAGTGGCAAGGAACCAAAACTCCATCAGTGACAGAAATAGAGAAAAAAACCTTGGGAGAAACCAGGCTCAGTCGAGGGGCCAGTTCCCCTCTGGGAACAAAACCAGTATGGTGTGGTTTAATTCCAGGCTGCAACACAGGTCAGATTGTGCAGAGGACTCATCTGGTTCTCGTGGTCTAGTCTCAATGGCCGTTTAGTTGATGAGGTCTTCACTGGTGATGTTTCTGGGGCTCGTCTACCTGACATGGTCTCCACTGACATTCAGGGCTGTAGAGGTCATCTCTAGGTGCTGATCAACGCTAGGTAGATTGTTCCAGAGTTTGGGTGCTAAATAGGAAAAAGATCTGCCGCCCGCAGTTGATTTTGATATTTTAGATATTATCAAATGGCCAGAGTTTTGAAATTGCAACGGACGTGAAGGACTATAATGTGATATGAGCTCACTCAAGTACTCAAGAGCTAAGCCATTCAGTGCTTTATAAGCAATTAGCAAGATTTTAAAATGTATACAATGTTCAATAGGGAGCCAGTACAGAGTTGACAGAACTGGGCTAATATGGTCATACATTCTGGTTCTAGTAAGAGCTCTAGCTGCTGTATTTTGGAACAGCTGGAGTTTGTTTATTAAGTGCGCAGAGCAACCACCCTATAAAGTATTACAATAATCTAACCTTGAGGTCATGAACGCATTAATTCACGTTTCTGCATTTGACATTGAGAGCATAGGTTGTAATTTAGATAGATATATTTTTAAGATGGAAAAATGCAGTTTCACAAATGCTTGAAAAATGGCTTTCAAAGGAAAGATTGCTATCAAATAGCACACCTAGGTTCCTAACTGATGACGAAGAATTGACAGAACAGCCATCAAGTGTTAGACAGTGTTCTAGTTTATTACATGTCAATGTTTTTGGTCCGAAAATTAACACCTCTGTTTTTTCAGAATTTAGCAGTAGGAAATTACTATCCAGTTTTTTTATATCAACTATGCATTCCGCATTCTGTTTTGTGAATTGGTATGAAATATAGAGCTGAGTATCATCAGCATAACAGTGAAAGGTAACACCATGTTTCCTAATCATATCTCCCAAAGGTAACATCGTGAAAAGCAGCGGTCCTAGTACTGAGCCTTGTGGTACTCCATACTGTACTTGTGATCGATGTGATACCTCGCTACCTCTGCTATGAATTGATGACGGTCAGATAAGTAAGATTTAAACCAAGGCAATTCCACTAATGCCAATAATTTTGTAGTCTACTCAAAAGAATGTGGTCGATAGTGTTAAACGCAGTGGTAAGATCCAGTAGCACTAATAGAGAAATACAGCCACGATCGGATGATAAGAGCAGATCATTTGTAACTCTGATGAAAGCAGACTCAGTACTATGATACGACCTAAATCCTGACTGGAAATCCTCACAGATACCATTTCTCTCTAAGAAGGAACATAGCTGAAAGGATACTGCCTTTTCTAGTGTTTTGACAGGAAAGGGATATTTGAGATTGGTCTGTAATTAACTAATTCTCTAGGATAAATTTGTGTTTTTTTAATGAGAGACTTAATAACAGTCAGTTTGAAGGATTTTGGGACATATCATAATGACATTGATGAATTAATAATGGCAGTGGCTATTTGCACTAAGTGCAAATAGCTATATATGCTATTTTCACTAAGTGCAAATAGCGATAGATGCTATTTACAGTAAGTGAAAATAGCAGTATTTTTTAATGATATGCTATTTACACTAAAGTGCAAATAGCTATAGATTGTATTTACACTATGTTAAAATAGCAAGTACCTCAGTATTGTAGTACGTTATAAAACAGTACGCAATAATAACGTACTGAGTGTAAATTATCATTTTAATTCAAATTATTAAATGGATGCCACCTTATTGGAACAATAAAGCCCTCCCTACACCTACCCTAACCCTACCCATTACTTTATTTTCAACTTTTTGGTTATTTCCTTTCTTTTTATTGAAAAGAAATGCCTTTCCGATGCGATATGAGATTTGAAAAGGGAGAAAAAAGTTTGGCAAAAGGCGGGCTCTAACTCGGGTCGATCACATCGAAAAGCACGCGCCCATCTGCCACTGAAACTGATGTTTAACAAGTGTCTTTTTTTCAGTGTTGACTGTCCCAATCACACATTGGTGGGTGGAGTTAGTGTAAATAGCCTCTGCCAACAAGGCGGGCTTTTTGCACTTAGTGTAAATGGACACTCTGATGAATAATATTCAGAAGAGGATCTATGACTTCTGGAAACACCTCTTTTAGTAGCTTAGAATAGGGTCTAACATACATGTTGTTGGTTTTGATGATTTGACAATTTTATACAATTATTCCTCTCCTATAGCAGAGAATGAGTGGAATTGTTCCTCAGGGGATCTATAGTGCACTGTCTGATGCGATACTGTAGCTGACGGCTGCATGGTTAGAATTTTATCTCTAATAGTATAAATCTTGGAAGTAAAGAAGTTCATAAAGTCATTACTGCTGTGCTGTTGGGAAATGTCTGCGCCTGTTGATGCTTTATTTTTCGTTAATTTAGCCACTGTTTTGAATAAATGCTGGGGTTGTGTATATTTTCCTCTAAAAGAGACAAAATGTAAGCAGATCTAGCAGTTTTTAGAGCTTTTCTATAAGTAGAAGTACTTTCCCTCCATTCAATACAAAATACCAGTTTTGTTTTCTTCCATCTGCACTCCATTTTCCGGGCTGCTCTCTTTAAGGTGTGAGTGTGCTCGTTATACCATGGTGTCGGACTGTTTTCCTTAATCTTCACTAAGCATAAGTCAAGTCAAGTCAAGTCAAGTCTGCTTTATTGTCAATTCTT